CTCCTTATTGAGCGGCCGGACCAAACCGTTCCTGGTTGGTCATGGGCCTCAACGGTGTGCTACTCGCTGTGCACACCGTCCCGCAACAAGGGTGTCTCGCCCAGTCCCCCTCTCGCTGAGGCTGGAGTAAAGAGGGACTGGGATAGTTCACCCTCCTCCCCCCACGCTGGTTGTGCAGATATACCACTACCGTCCATTCCAAAGTTCACTCTCCTCCCCCCACGCTAGTTGCACAGATATACCACTACCATCCATTCCAAAGGTTCTTAGTCTTCACTTCGCGCGCGTGAGTCTTTGGGGTCCAGCAGCAATCCCCCTCCAGCTTGAAGGTTAGGAAACTCTTTGAGAAGGGTGGCAAATCCTTCCTGCCCAGCACTCCATTCAGTCTGTACTCCGCGGTCTCTCCTTTCTGGTGTCACGCCCGTTACAATTCTAACTCTGCGTGCCCTTTTCCTCTTTTATATCTCCCTCCCACACTTCGCGCGCGTGAGTCTTTGGGGTCCAGCAGCAATCCCCCTCCAGCTTGAAGGTTAGGAAACTCTTTGAGAAGGGTGGCAAATCCTTCCTGCCCAGCACTCCATTCAGTCTGTACTCCGCGGTCTCTCCTTTCTGGTGTCACGCCCGTTACAATTCTAACTCTGCGTGCCCTTTTCCTCTTTTATATCTCCCTCCCAGACCAGACAGTCTAGCTCCTCCCCCTTTTCATCAGCCAGGCACACCTCTAACGATTCCTTCTCTTCCCTTGTCTCCTGCTCTATTTCTACTAATATTCTTGTCTACTGCTCTATTTCTACTCTATTTCTATGCATCCGGGTCCTTCCTCTGTGCTCTTCTCCTGGGAGGACGGCACACTAGTTCTCTCTCCTTCACAATGATGTACCCAAATTAGCATCTCTATGGTAGGAAAAGTAGGAAAAACACTTACAAAAAGAACCTGCTTAAAACTATAGAATTCCAATAGAGAATATACGTACACAGTTCTTTGGAGGGCAATAAAACTTTTCTAATGAAGGCTACAAACACCTAACCCAGGTGTACTTGGACTGCAGCTCCCAGAAATCCCAGCCAGCACAGCTGATAGTGAAGGATTCTGGGAACTGAAGTCCAACAGCACCTGGGTGACTCAAGGCTGGGAACCATGGCTCTAGACCACTGGTTCTTAACCTTGGGTTACTCAGGAGTTTTGGACTGCAACTCCCAGAAGCCTTCACCACCAGCTTTGCTGACTGGGGTTTCTGGGAGTTGCAGTTCAAAAGCATCTGAGTAACAAAGGTTAAGAACCACTGCTCTAGACCACTGGTTCTTAACCTTGGGTTACTCAGGAGTTTTGGACTGCAACTCCCAGAAGCCTTCACCACCAGCTTTGCTGACTGGGGTTTCTGGGAGTTGCAGTTCAAATCAACAGCACTGGGTGACTCAAGGCTGGGAACCACTGCTCTAGACCAAGGTGGGCCACTTGTTTCCCTAGGGTTGCACATGGGCCTCAGCCGAGTTAAATGAAGCTCGTGACTGAAGTTCAAAAGCCTTCTGCTGATGACACAGTTCAGATCCCTTGCAAAAGCAATCTGTTCCATTGCCAAATCCCAGAGCAGGGAAGGGGAGGGGGAGGGAGAGAGACAGAGATGGAAGGGTAAGGCCAAAATAAGAGCAAACAAGAGAGGGAGAAGGGATGGCTTGTTGGGTGGAACCACAACTTTCATCATCCCTAACCACTGTCTGTTAGCTAGGGCGATTCAGAATCATATTCCAACCAATAATGAGGACTCAAAAGCTGCCAACCTTATCTATGGTATGTAAAGATACCTTTCTCCTCCTCCCAACCACTCCTGCTATTGTTTCAAATCACAATTTCACTAGCTCTCAATCCATTTCAAAACTCTGCCAGGCTTTTTTCCTCCGGAGGGTACGGGTGCATGATAAAGGCAAATTAGTGTCTGCCTCTGCCATACCAACTTGGATTACCCGAAAAGCTTACCGTTAGCCAGGGGGTGGACCCTGGCACATTTTGAAGGGCACCACAGACTATAAACAATTCTTCCGACACCATCTTGTAAGGTTCTTTATGCGTCTTATACAACCCTGATTCAGCCTATATTTCTTTCATATTGTGCATACGGATGTGGCCAAAAAATGTTGAGAACGGCTGCTTTGACCTACAATTAAACATTAGAGAGTGGACCCCTATTTTCCACATGATGGGACATAGCTCAGCAACAGACCACATGCTGTGCATGGAAAAAAAAACTTGTGTGCAAGTACAGGAATCTCAAGGCAGTAGTGGGAAAGATCTTGGCCCTTTCTAACACTTTTCAAGTTTGCTGGTGATCAGTATGGACAATCCTGTGCAGAACAGACGGGGTGTATGATCTAATATTGTTAAAATGCTACTAATAGCACCGTCTGCTGGTCAAAATTAAAGCTGAAGTTGAGTTTAGGGCAAAATATATTAACTGCAATCAACTGAAAAAAATGTGTTGCTATCCACAGTCACCAAGTTCATCACCTAGTACAGCTGAATATATCGTCTGTAGCCTGCTCCTACCCTATGGGAATGCCTCCATGATTTTGCTACCCATTTCGGAACCTTCAGAGTGTACTATTTGGTCTTCTCAATTTGTAGAAAGGTGGAAAGCAGCAGGAAAAGAAGACCAAATACTACATGCATTGATTCCCTAAAGGAAGCCACAGGTAAGAGGTGAACAGGGCTGTTGAGGAAAAGGACATTTTGGAGAGCACTAATTCATAGGGTCATCATATGTCAGAGGTGACTTGATAACACTTAAGGACAACCAGGTGCTGGTTATTACATGTCAAGGGGCGCTGCAGTAAGACTTTGTGCCATCAAGTAGCATCCTGATTTACAGCAATCCTAATACAATCTTCAAGTTATGTGAGATATTTAAGTAGTGGTTCCACCAGTGCCACCCTCCACTGAATTTTTATGGTCAAGCAGAGTTTGAATCACCCGAGTTCTAGTTCAACACACTATTTACTATACTGCACTGGCTCTCATTAAGAGTTCAATCAAATTTATTTCTAACGGAGTTTGGAACAGGGTTTTTTTTGTTTGTTTTTGATGGACGGAACTACAATTCCCAGGAATCTCCCAGAGGATTTGGGGAGTTGTAGTCCAAAACGCTAACTATCCCAAGCTCTGGTTTTCTAATATTATATCAAAAGACCTTTCAAGAGCTTTTATCCCAACCAACAGCGGAGCCTAGGAAAAGAAGAGAGGTCAAAGACTTCAGGAAATCCAAAGAGGATGGTGTCAGTAGAACCTGAAGACAAATTCTCTGTTTTATAAGCTGTTTTGTATTAATAATTCTAATTAACAACAGCAATGAAAGCATTAGTCAGATAAAATATCCAATCCAGATTCAACAAAAAAGTTCAAGACAGAAAAAGTCCAATAGTATCATTTCCACGATAGCCGTGAAATTATGGGCAGAATCCTCTTTTATCCCTTCCATTTGCCTAACGGCCAGACTGTTTATAGGTTGTTATGTAAATGGCCCATATTTCTTGCAAAAAAACCCAGAAGCGCTGCTGTTTCTAACAGGGCAACCTCTGCTTGTTTGGTAACAAGCTGGAGGCTGGGCAGAACGATGAGATCAGCGTGCAATGTTCCACCAACATTCAGACAAGATTTAGACTTGACCATGGGAAAATGCTGCCTTTCCACTGTAGATGCTGGCAGTCCAAAACATGGATGGGGCAGTCCAAAACATCTGGAAGGCTGCCTTGCTTAGGACCATGGAATCAAAGAATAGCTGAGTCAGAAGGGGCCTATAACGTTAACGAGTCCAGCCCCCTGCTCAAAGCAGGAATCCAAATCAAAGTGAATCTGACCAAAGTAGTTGTCCAATTTTCTCTTGAATGTCTCCAAGCTGGAGTGCTCTGGAGTGCTCCGGAGCTGGAGTGCCCGAGATAACTACAGTAGTTCCACTGTTGTACTGCTCTAACAGTTAAGACGTTTTTCCTGATATTTGTTTTCTAGAAATCATACTTGTCTATTACCTAAGAGATTGTGGCAGAGTCGTGTGACTCTCTCATCTGTCCACACACTGGCTGTGACGGCTGAGCCTGATGGGAGCTGTAGTAGAAGAGCATCTGGAGGGTCATTGATTTTCTACCTCTGGACTGGATTAAATAGGATTTAGAAAACGGTTCCAAAAGGCACTCATGCTTAGCCCCAAAACATGAATTAGTTCACTAGAAAGAAGACAAAAAGATGCCAATATTGTCCATGTACAATATTAGTATGAGTGAAGTAATATATTTTAACACAATGGGGATGACTAGGACCAGGTAAAATTAAGATGCTGCTCAGTCTGCTCTCCCGCAAATGGCCAACTTCAATACAGTATATTTAACGGAAGATCCCTGGGCTCCTTCTTTCTTGCAGTGTTTTGTCCTTAAACTGGACCTGGACTGGAAAGTCCTCCAAACAAGGGGACAGACTTGCCAAAATGAGCACACACACAGAGGTTACCTGATTATACCTTTCTGTGGTGAGAGATAATATATTTGTATTTCAGACGTAGCAATGATGTCCCAAGGTATCTGGACACCTCACTGAGTTGAGTACATGGCTACTGAACCCAGGAGTTCAATTCCTCACTGTGGGTCTCAAAAGAACCAGCTTGCATAGCCTTGGGCAAGCTGCAGAGCCCCAGACTGCCCCCAGAAGAAAGGAAGAGTAAACCATTTCTGACTACTTTATAGCTCAAAAACTCTGGAAGAGGTTATTGTAAGTTGGAAATCGAATGAATGATGTCTCATCAGTGGGCATCAACACACATAAGTTGGCACAGGTAAATGCTATGCAAACTGAGGTTTCCTTTTCTTCTGTTTTGGCAAGTTACCCATGTAACCAAGCAGCCACAGACTACAGCATCTCATCCTAACTAAGGAATTTCCCCTCACACATCTAACAGTTTTGGAAATCTATACATTTTTCAGTATAGCCCCTCAAAACTCATTTCATTTCTCCTGAGGTCTCCAAAAGCAACATATATACAAGTTTTATTTCATTATTGACACCCCTTTTACTTTCCCAAACACATCAATAATGTTATTCCAGCCTCAAACATATGAATCAATAAATAGAATGTCAAACGTCATTAAAGAGATCCCTCGGCTTTAGGTACTTCACTGTCCTCCATCGGAAACTAAAATCAATTCTGATTGCTGAACGCCTGGACAAACTCAGGAAGTGGGAAGACGGAGCCCCATCCAACTTCTGGGTTCATACTGATGAAGTCATCCAAGTTCATCTTGAAGTCTTAACAGATGAAAGGGGAAAAAAAGTACTGTATTAACAATCAAGGGGGAAGATGCTGCTAAATAACCCAGAGATCTCTTGGGTGTTTAATTGTTGAGACTCAGTTGGTGGGATTCAACAGAGTTGCTCCCCTGATGGAAGTGATCCTATCGGAAGAACCAAAATTATTCTTCTTCCTCTTTTTTAACCCCGTGGGCCCTGACAACCTGTTCTATAGGGAGCAGGCCTGGGAACAGGTAGGTATTTCACTACACCCACTTAAGGCTAAAACTAACATTCGTACTACCTAGAGAAGACCTGCTGAAATCAATAGGATTTAAGTTTGTTGTGATTCAGAGCCCCTCTTCATTTCTGTGGAGCTATTCAAGGTAAAACTAGCACCGGTCTTAGCCCCCAGGAACCAACAATTGTGAGTTGAAATGCACAGAAGTACCCATATTATGAGAGACTGAATGAAACATACGAATCCCAAGGCAGTGGAGGTGGTTTACACTGAGATGCATCTTGTGCAGCATAGGCTCGTTTATATCACAACACTATGAGCCCTTCTGGATTAAAACAGAAAAACTACAAGTGGATATTCTTTCCAGAGTAGCAGTCCTGGATGCCAGAGAAACAAAGCATCTGGATCGTGGACAATCTGTTCCATGGATCGGCAAAATCTGGAAGACCCAACGGCCATTTCCCAACATCTCTCAACTTGTCATGGGTTACTCCATCTCATTCCAGTGAAACCAAAAATGATGAGAAGGTCATTTCCACTTTTAAAGTAACTAATTTTTGCTTAAAACAGTACTGTATGTCTTGTTCTTAAGCACAGAACTGTGTTGCCTGGAGGCTACGGAAGGCATGGTTCTCCTGTTTTGTTTGCCAAAAGCAATATGGGTGTGTGTACGAAATGTAGCTCACGGGGTTGCGCCCTGAGGCCTTCAATACTAAGAACACCCACGGAGGCCATTTACAGGAGGGATTCTCATTCTTGATCTACCAAACTGAATTGTAAGTCCCCTAGAAAAAGAAAACAAAAAGTATTGCGGCACCCTGAAGCTTCAATGGACTGTAGACCACTTCTTCAGATGCTGCAGCCCATGAAAAGTAATGCCAAATAGAACTTGTTAGACTTTAATGTGCCACAAAACGACGGGGTGCTCTGGGTAACTGTTGTTCCCCAAGTGGTCATATGTGAACTGCCGCCGCCACAGAATAACGTGGCTGTGTCAATTATAATTTTATATAAAGTTACATGACATGAGAAAATAATAAATTTAAATGAAGAAACATTTCATTGAAGGAAAATAGTAGAAATGAATACGAAACAGTCACTTTGCATTGTGCTCACTGAGCTGTTGTTGTTGTTGTTTAGTTGTTAAGTTGTGTCCGACTCTTCGTGACCCCATGGACCAGAGCATGCCAGGCCCTCCTGTCTTCCATTGAACTATTAACTGATGTTAACTCATGGGAGGGGTGATATCATGCCCAGGCCCTTGAAAGTCAGGCTCCTTGGATGCATTCGGACTGGAGAAGTAAGCTTTTGCGATGCTAACCTCCTGAGAATCCAGAGGCTTGGCGAAAATTGTTTTGACTATGCTGAAAATCCAAGAGTACAAATAAGGCAATAGATTTTGCCTTATTTAGACTCAGAAAAGACACACCAATTTTGTTCTTCATTGAGAGGGGAAGAGAATCTCTGCCAAAAGGAGTAAGAATGATGTAATATGATGTGACTTATTTAGATGCATTATGCCATGCTATGTCCTTTTTGGCTTTTATAATACCTAAAGATATATATTTAATAGATTTTGAATAACTTTTAAAAGCAACTTGTATGAGTTTATGCATTGAGAAAATAGTTCTAGCCTTGTGTTTTCCGAAACAATAAATTTAAGCTTTATATCGCAGTACAGAAGATACAAACTTAGTAAATCATACTATTTCCTACAAATTAAGAATGCTGTCAACATATATGAACTGAGATCTTGTATTAGAAAACTAAAGATTTTGAAATATATATATTTGTTCATTTTTATATATCTTATACCAGTGTATACCTGCTACAGTACTTTGAATTTTTCTATATCCTTGCTTGTTTGCTCAATAACCCTTAGGGGGGAAAAGATTCTTTTTTTGAACTGTTAAGTAATAAAAATCAGATATCCTTATTTATACTCTTGCATTTTCAGCATAGTCAAAACGTAAATTTAAAAGGATGCAAGTTCATCTGAGACTACAAATAAATTTCTTGCCAGTTGTGTGTAAAACGTCGATCTCTAGGTAGAAAGACAGGAGCCCTGTGAAGACATTCGGATATTCTACGTGGAATCAGACAGCTGACCTGAACATTTCTGCTGAAAGACTATACTGTTCTTCTATCTTAACAGAGCTTTCGGCACACCAACCCAAAAATAAAACATTGAAACTTCCAGTCTCCTAAAATAAAGGGATTAATATGAACTAATTTGGGCAAAATATTCAACTTTCATGCTTACCAGCTGTTTCAATGCATGGGTAGCGAGGAGGCTCTTTCAACCAGTTCCCACGGGTGTCTTTCATATGGGATCGGTCAGAAGCAAAAGTCTTCAGATACACATCGGCTCGGATCAATCTGACTTTTCTAAATAAGCCAAAAACTTTAAGTCATGAGAGTTGCACAGTCCTTGGCAGAAACATCAGGAAACAGTCGTGCAGACTCTTGCTCCTAGTAGTTTCAGTTATTGCTAAACCAAAGATAAAATTTCCATTAAGCATCAAAATCCATGTCAAATTCATGGTGAATGGCCAAAACAAAAAACAAAAGCAAAAACAAAAAACAAAAAAAGCCGTTCAACATGCACATTTTACAAGTGTCACTCTTGGGGGGCACAGTTTGAAATAAATGGTGCAATCCGACACACGTCTAGTCAGAAGTACATCCCACTGAGTTCAATGGAGCTTAATTCTATGTAAGTGGGAAGAGGACTCCAAATAAAAGGGATTAAGCCATGCTTCTCAGTAAATATCATGTACTTTACTCCATTCCATCAACAGAACCCAGGGAAATTATTAAGATCATAAATGTTAATTTTAAATCTTTATATGCTGTTTTGTTTTATTGTGCTCTATTTGTTTTTACACAAATGATGTTTTGCGTAGCATTAGATGTGTTGCTTATTGTTTGCTATTTCATGTTATGAACTGCCGAGAGTGACCTCTTGTTAGATGGGCGCTACGTAAATCTAAGTAATGAATGAATGAAATAAAATAGTTGCACTCTTATTTGATATTTTGGCAATAAAGAATTTTCACAGCACCTTCCAGGCAAACATAACACCAACCCCAGACCCCTTTATTGCTTCTGCTGCATCAGAATAACAGACACTCTATGATATGGGTCTTTTCTGTGGTGGAAAGTTGCTGAGTTTTGTGTGTTTCTTTGCTCCTAATTCAGGTGTAGTTCTTGTTACTGCTTTCCTTTTTCTTTTTAAATGATTGACCATGTTTAGTTCAACATACCCCAGCCTAACAAATCAAGGTACAAATCAACTTTTTTTCTGCTTATGCAGCCCATTTCCCCCCTCCCTTCGCAAGGTAATGAAACAAATCAGAGGAAGCTTTCAATGAACCCACGTTTGCTGTTCCAGCAGAATCAGGAAATTGCAGGTAATAATAGCTTTGAATGAACCCAGAGAATAAAATGTAGCTTGAAGCTGGTTTAGGACTCAGTTCATTCTAAAGCTGCAAATCAATTCAGATGAAATTTGTCACTATGTTTAACAGAAAGCTTCCTGGTTTAATCATGGCTTGCACGAAGCAGAACGCTCTGTTGGTACTTAGGCTTACTGAACTGAATTATGATGACTATCTGAAGGCAAAACTACACCAATCCTATGTTTTAATAAGACTGACATTTTAATTCTACAAATGATATTTTCAGAAAACCGACTGATTGCAGTGCTTATACTGCCATACCACTAAGGTCATTAAAACTATAGAAAGCTGTATTGATTCTTTCCTGCAGCCTTCCCCATACCTCATTTATAAAAATACAAAAATCTAACAGTTCTTTGCTTCTACTTCTACAACCTAAACAGATACATTCTGGCGAACCTTGCTTCATGGGAAACTTTACTTTCAAGACGGTAGAAAATGGAAGAAAATGAAATGGGATGGTCTGAAAATAAGATTTAACATTTGGAGGTCATGTGGACTCCAGCCCTGCAGCTAATATGAACAGTATCACATTTCTCTCCTGATCTTCTCTTCACAAGAGAACCGTATATTACACCTAATACTAGAAAGAGGACTGAGTGCTTCCTTGAGCTGATATCTTTGAAAAACAGTGGTGGAAAATGGAGCTTATTCATCTGATAGCTCTTGGTGCAATCTGCAATCCGTTTTAGTGACGCCCTTTATACTAGACCTGGCACAAGGATAGGACTAGGCCACAGCAAAACTGTTGTTGTTCCAAGGTAAAATAAAAGCTCCAGATCATTCATACAATCATTTCCCTCAAGAGCAGAACTGTCGGAAGGCAACTCTTAGACTGTAAGGTGACATGCCTACATCTTAGTTGCTATTTAAGCTACACAAACATTGTATTCTCAAAGACTTTCACGGCTGCGATCCAATAGTTGTTGTAGGTTTTTTAAGGGTAGAGGTATACGCGCGCACGCACGTGCGTGTGTGTGTGTGTGAGAAAAGCTCTCTTTAACAAGCATGCAGTCACACGCGTGCATGTGTGTGAGAGAGAGAGAAAAAAAGCTCTCTTTAACAAGCATGCAGTCAATTTATTAAAGAACCCCAGACCCCTTTATTGCTTCTGCGATCCAATAGTTGTTGTAGGTTTTTTGGGATGCCTGGCCATGTTCTTGAGGTTTTTCTCCCTAACGTTTTGCCAGTCTCTGTGGTCAGAGGACAGGAGTCAGAACTCTGTCTGTGCTGTGGTGCAGTTTGTGGGATAACTGAGTATTTATAGTTGTGGGATCAGCTTTTTGTCCTCTTCAAGAGATTGGGTGATTATGGTGATCAGCATGTTTTTTGTTGTGGGTGTATTGTTGAGATAAGGGGGAGAGATAAGGGGTGTGTGCCTTACACGCTCACCTTCGAAATCCAGGATTAATAATGCTGTCTGACTTAAAAGCCTCTTCAATGTAAGTATCAAAGGGGCAGGGGAAAGAGAGCACAGTATCAAGGTCATAAATGAAGTTCTGGCCTCCACTTGACACGTGAAGCAAAATTACATGGTAATCCTGGAAGTAAGAGAAATGAGAAGTTTCTTAAATGTGAGTATCAGTGACAACACTATGAAAATCAGCAATAATTTAAAATGTTTAATTTTATTTGCATTTTATTTTAGACATTTAAAACAGACGTTAAACAATAGTCCTGCATCTAAATCAGGGTGGGACAGTGTAGCCTTCCAGGTATTTCTAATCTAGTGTTTCTGACTGCGATTAGCACAAATCAGTACACTTTCTAGTCTTATGAGAAACTATAAGAATTGTAGTCCAGAAACTTTTGAAGTCCAGAGCTGGCAACCTCTGTTGTAAGTGAAATGCTGAAGCAATTCCATTTAAAACAGACAAAATGGCCAATTTAGTCTGCGTTTAAATCCAGCTGAAATCAGATTAAAGCGACTTACTCAAACCCAACTACCTACAGTGAGGGCAACGTTCTTTACATTGGGCCAGAATTAAATTAATTAAATATCCTTTTACCTAACATGTGGATAATAACTAAACATTCATAGCTCAGATTCAAGCTGAGCAGGCTTTATTTATTCTTACACAGCAAAGGTGAGCGAGTCTGATCTTCTCGATGTTTTACTACAAAACAATTTCTGAAATTCCTTACTATTGGATATACTGATTATAACCGTGTTTCCCCAAAAATAAGACAGGGTCTTATATTAATTTTAGCTCCAGAAAATGCATTAGGGCTTATTTTCAGGGGATGTTTTTTTTTTTTCATGTACAACAATCTACATTTAGTCAAATACAGTGATGTAATCTTCTTCTGATTGCTGCACAATGGTGGAGGGCAGGGTTTCACTTAACTGAGGCTTATTTTGGGGGCAGGGCTTATATTACGAGCATCTTGAAAAATCATACTAGGGCTTATTTTCAGGTTAGATTTGGGGGGAGGGTAAACAGGATATTGCTGTTATTGTTGTTATGAAAAATTACCAAACACAATCAATCAATATTATAAAAACATCAACTATCATTATATAACAGATACAAGTTTTAATCTGAAACTACGAATCTGTTAAATATTGACGCAGTATGTATGCTGTTTCCAATACAGTGGAAACGGGCACCCCGTTTAACGACGAAATCACATAGTGATGAAGATTTTGCGATGTTTTAAATGGGCAAAAAACACGTTGCGATGATCGGTACCGTTTCGCTTACCGATCATCGCAAAGCAATTATTTTTTAACAGCTGATCGGCGGTTCAAAAATGGCTGCCGGGTAAAAAAATGGCCGCCGCTGTTTTTTGGGATGGATTCCTCACTTACCAGACAGCGAAAATGGCCGCCCTATGGAGGATTTTCGCTTAAAGGTGAGTCTGAAGCCCATAGGAACGCATTGAAGGGGTTTCAATGCATTCCCATGGGCTTTTTTAAATCGCATAGTGACGAAATCGCTTTGCAGCGATTTTTGCTACACCGATTATCTTCACTATGCGAGGCACCGCTGTATTATCATTTTTTTGTAGCTCTTATGATATTTCACTTACTCTGAATGCCCTGTTGGGGTCGCTATAACTCCATTCCAACGTGAGAGCACATAACAAGAATAAAGGTTTTACCGAGTTCTGGATTTTGTTTTCATTTATAAATCAGATGGCTACTTTATTTTTCCCTTTAAACATCAAAAACATACGTTTTAAAAGAAAAGCAAAAATGAAAAATGGCAGAATATTAAGCAAAGAGAAGCAGTTATGGATTTCCTCACCCAAATCACAGGTTGTTCTCCACATCCAGCCTGTTGTTTCCAAAGGGGTACCTGTGGGTTGGAAAGAATGTGTGGGGCACATTGAATGAAAATAAACCATCTCGGCAGTTTGGACCTTTATAAGAAAGCTTCCACTCCCAAACCTCTATAATTTTGTAAGAAAACAAACCAGTTTCAATGGCAGTGAGCAGCAGTGGGGAACTTGTGGTTCTCCAGATGTTTTGTGGCTGAAGTTCACATAACTGCTCAATACAGCTGTCAGAAGCTGCAAGTCAAAAGGTCACAAACATAATGCATAATGGTGACACAAAACCAAGTTACAACAAGATCACTGACTGTAGCAAAAATAAAAACAAAAGAAGTGTGATACCAGATTAAAAGACTAATCTATATTCACGTGTATCTTCCTTATTGGTCCCATCACTGGTCCCATCACCTCCTGGCAAATAGAAGGGGAAGATATGGAGGCAGTGACAAATTTTACTTTCTTGGGCTCCATGATCACTGCAGATGGAGACAGCAGCCCCGAAATTAAAAGACCCCTGCTTCTTGGGAGGAAAGCGATGACAAACCTTGACAGCATCTTAAAAAACAGAGACATCACGTTGCCGACAAAGGTCCGCATAGTCAAAGCTATGGTTTTTCCTGTAGTGACGTATGGAAGTGAGAGCTGGACCATAAAGAAAGCTGAC